AGGATATATTATCGTTTTGGATATTGGAAATCCCAAAACCATCAGGATATCTTTTTCTTTTTATCTAATTAATAATACATAAATTAATTAAATCAATTAACAATTAATTAATTTAAATCCAAATATTAAATAAATAAATAACAATTAATTATTTAACTTTTTAATTAAATATCACATATTTAATTAAAACTATATATTTCAATCATATTCAAATGCATCTCTCTTTTATAACCTATAGTTTTAATATGAATCCAATTCATATTAATTATTTGAATTCCATTCAAATATTTCTCTCATAACATATAGTTTAATTATTAAATCTTTATGAAAAAATAAACTATATATATAATGTATCATAATATACATTACATACATTCCCTGATATATAATTTGAACATTTCAAATTTTCTCAAAATCTTGATCCTCGTTTTACCCATTGTGAACTAGTAAGGAGACCTAATGGACCTATAGATTAGAAGCTCCAACGATACGAGTTTAATTGATCAAACTCATTAACCAAATTAACAAACATTCGTTAACCGCAAATCATTCCATTAAAAATTTGTAGCTGCACTCTTCTCACAGCAGAATATTTCATGTCTATAGAAATTGACCATTGACGGTAAATTGATCCTTCACAAGTGCTCATAACTTCAATTGGATCAAATTACCATTTTACCCCTGGGTTACTTCTTGTATCTTAAGTACCACTGATCGTCAAATGAACAATCAAGTTATGGTCCGACCAATAACTGGAATTGCGTCTCGAGCCAATGAGAGGGTGGGGCCCCTTGTTCAAATTCCGAAGTTAGTCCTTAAGGGAACACTCATCTACTTCTCTAAAGTCGGGAAAGAGTGAATCTCATCTCATGTAGTTATGTTCCTAGCTCCCTACTCGGTTCCGTCCCAAAATGGTAGGAATATTGAGTCGGTAACTCAGGCCACTCTCACTCATACAAATCAAAGGACAAACCCTCGTAGACAGGAATTCGTAACTCACTCAGGATTAAGATCGAGTTACATGATCATCCTATGAAATATTAATCTAAATAGTTAACGATGTTACAACTATTGATTAATGATTTCGCGGTCCGGTCTTATACAAACTCATTGTATAGGTACATCCGCTAGCATGTCACTACATGAATGACATGGATAGAGTCGTTTATAACTGTTACAAAGCGGGAGGTATCCCTAGTGTTACCAGGATAAGGTATCCAACCTTATCTGTGTATTATAAATCATTTAGGTTATTACAGGAACATTATTCACTTGTATATCGAATATATATTGTATATCAAATATGTACCTTATATATCAAATATATACTTTATATCAAATATATACGTTGTATATAATGTATATATTTGATATTAAATATATACTATTCTAGTTACATTAAATAACCTTGGATCTTCGTTTATTTGAATACAATAATGCAAAGAAATAATAAGATAACTCTTTATTGAATAAATAGTTTGTTCATAAATTACAAATACACGAGCTAAGGGCACCAAACCCAACAGAACCTTCACGTAGTTTAAGTAAATGTATATTTGAAAGAACCATAGTGAATTAAGTCTTGAACTAGATTTTTGAGTCAAATTTCCACTGAACCCACACATAGTACAAGCTAGTTTGGGATTCTAGTCAGTTTTGTGCTTTAGACGGCCATGTGCACATATCCTATTTTCATGAGTGTTTTAAGGGAGTAGCCCAAACACCTATTGTGGCCACCTCACCAGAACACTTACATATGTGAAACCTCCAAGGGATGTTTGTGATCAACACCCTGCATAATACATGTCTTGGTTTCATTCAGAGTTTAACTCTTTCTTATCATCACAATTATGAGCACTAACATCATAGGAATGGGACTCGGAGTATTCCTCAATTATTATAAAGTGCTCTCATAGTAACATTTCAACTTCGTTGCAACCCGTTGTATCTCTTTCATGGTATCTCCAAACTTTAAGGTTGGGAGTCAATTGTGGTGACTATCTTAATGGTCTTAGTCTCATTCCCCTCGATGCTTCAATAACTAGCTTGTGCGCCAAGCCTTTTGTAAATAGATTCGCTAGGTTCTCTTCAGATCTTACAAAGTTTAGAGAAATCACGGGATGAGATGATAATTGCATGATAGAGTTATGCTAATTCTGATGTGTCTACTTTTGCCATTATAATTTTATTATTAGCCTTAGCTATAGTAGCTTGACTATCACAATGTAAATGCAGGACGAGATTACCATTTAGAAATAAAGAAATATCAACAATTAGACTTCTTAACCATTCTACGCAATAATTCAGCTTCCATGGTGGATCTAGAAATTTAATGTCTGTTTAGTAGATTCCATGCTATTGCACTACCACTCAAAGTAAAGATATAGCCACTAGTTGCTTTAGTTTCATCTAATTCAGAGATCTAATTGACATTATTGAATCCTTCTACTAATAACGAAAATCTATTATAACAAAGATTCAAATCAGAAGTACCTTTAAGGTATCTGCACAACCTTTCAATAGCGCACCAGTGATATTCACTTGGATTACAAGTTTATATACTCAATCTATTAACAACGTATGCAATATCAGGTCTAGTGCAATTAGCAAGATACATCAGTGAACCAATTATTTGAGGATATTCATGTTGTGATATATGTTTTCCTATATTCTTCTTAAGCTTCAAATTTGAATAAAAAAGGGTAGAAACATGACTCAAATCAAAATAATCAAATTCCTTTAATAAATGTTTCCCATAATGTGATTGAGTCCATATAAATTCACTATTATCTCTTTTAATCAATTCAACACCCAATATGATTTTAGCAAAACCTAAGTGTTTCATGTCCAAAATTATTTGACATAAATTTTTTTTTTCATTGATAACGTCTGCAGTGATGCCCAATATAAGAATATCATCAATATACAAACAAAGAATAACACGTAATTTCTAACTTTTTAATGTAAAGACATTTATCAGAATCATGAATGAGAAAACCATAAGAGATAATCACACTATCAAATTTCTCATGTAATTGTTTAAGGGCTCGTTTTAGTCTATAAAGAGATTGAACCAGCTTACAAACTTCTTGACTTGGTTTTATAAACCCCTCATATTGTTCCATATAAATTTCATCTTCTAATTCCCCATTTAGAAAGGCTGCTTTAACGTCCATTTGATGAATTTCTAATTTTAAAATAGAGGCAATGGCTATCAAGGCTTTAATGGTAGCCATTCTAGCTACGGGAGAGTAAGAATTTACACATTCCTTTTGACCATACCTGTTTGCAACTAATCTAACTTTAAATTTATCTATGGAACTATCAATTTTGAGTTTCTTCTTGAAAATCCACTTACCACCAATTACTTTACAACCACGTAGAAGTTAAATTAAGACCCATGTATTATTAGACAAAATTGACTCAATTTCACTATTAATAGCTTTTTCGAAAGAATGTTTATTTATAAACTTTATTTCTTCTAAATATGTGTTAGGATCACTTTCAACCAAATAAGTATAAAAATCATCACCAAAACTCTTACAAACTCTTTTCCTTTGTTCTAACAGTTCCAAATTAGGAGTCACCTTTTTAGACCCTAAACTTTCATTAAGTTGCTTGTTTAAATTAATCTTTATGGGAAAAATGTTTTTAAAGAAAGTGACGTCACGAGATTCTATAACTGTATTTTTTGTAAACTCAGAAATATCTTAATTTAGAATAAGAAAGTTATAGGTAGTGCTATTTAAAGAGTACTCAACAAAAGCACAATAAATGGTGTTAGGGCCTAGTTTTTGTTTCTTATTAATAGGGATATTCACTTTAGCCAAGCAGTCCCATACTAGAAAATTTAAGTTAGGGACTTTATTTTTTCATACCTCGTACAAAAGTTTTGTTAGAATTTTTATAAAGAATTCTACTCCGAACAAGCAGAATATAAAGCTTCACTCCAAAAATTAGTTTGCAGAAGAACTCAATGACATTAACCATATCTAATAAGATTCTACTTTTCCTCTATGCCACACTATTAGATTGGGGTGCATAAGGAGGGGTAACCTGATGAATTTAGCCGTGCAATTTATAAAATTCATTCCTTTCTTCTGAACAGTACTCACTTAAAACTTTTATTTTCTTTTCTAATTGATTTTCTATCTCAGCTTTATAAATTTTAAATTTTCTAAACACTTCATCTTTAGTGTTAAAGTAAATAGACATGATAGTATAGAGCAACATCCATAAAAGTTACAAAATACTTTTTTCCCTCCACAAGTCAAAGTATAATTGCAATCACAAACATCGTCATGAATTAATTATAACAATAAAAAATTTCTTTCTGTTGATTTAAATGATTTTCTAGGTTGTTTTGCTTGCACACAAATTTCACATCATGGGAAGTTGGGGTGTGCCACATTGTATTAAACTGTGATTTTGGGAGAGAGAATTCAAAGGGATCTTTACGAGAGCTCCTGAATCTGCATGGTGATAAGTTAATTACCATTCGTTGAAAAAACCAACAATATATATATATATATATATATATTGTAAAGATAAATATATTAAACAAACAAAGACCTCAGCTTTCAAAGTGCACAATAGGGCAGAAGGCGACCGGCCCACCCCACCCCCATGAACTCTAGCATTACGCTCCCTCCAATTAAAGGAAACAGTTGAAGTCCATGCCAAACACCACACACGACGACGAACAGACTGTCCAGCATTAATGTGACAGATCCAAGCAAGATCAATAGACCAATATGAAACCCTATGAGAAGAACTAGCCTAGGCAATCATTCTAGACCATACCTCCCAACTAAAAGGGCACTCAAGAAACATATGATACCGGGACTCAAAGCCAACACAAAACACAAGGGAAATAGGAGTAGAAGAATCTCAACGACATAAGTGATCCCACGTAGCAAGCCGATCACGCACCGCCAACCAAGCAATGAAAGAATGCTTCNGACCTCTCAACTAAAAGGGCACTCAAAGAACATATTATCCTAGGACTCAAAGCTAACACAAAACACACAGGAAACAGGAATAGAAGAATCCCAACGACGTAAGCGATCTAGCGTAGCAAGCCGATCACGCACCGCCAACCAAGCAATGAAAGAATGCTTCGAAATGTTCCCACTGAACCAAAGCGAGGAAAACCAAGGAACAAGAGGTTGAGTCGGCCGCAACACATCCCATGCGCTCGACACCGAGAAAAGACCCGACGACTTCGGAATCCAAACGAGCACATCTTCTCTCCTAACCAAAACGACATAGATGAAATCTTAGAGACCAACTTAAGAAGATCGACCGACCACCGAGGCTAGCACCACGAACCATCAAAAAAAAGAAAATAAGCAACCTTTGCTTAGGACAAGCTTGCAGCATCATAGATAATCCGATCACCAATCCTTGGATAAATCGGACATCCAGAAGCCAAGCGTCATGCCAAACAAAACAACGCTGACCATCTCCAATCGCAAATCGAACCAAAGGTCAAAAAGCATCTCGGACAGAAAGAATATCCTGCCAACACCAAGAGAAGCAAGGCGAAGCACAAACGGTCCAAATACAATCCTGTTGAAGAATATAGGCCTCCATACAAGCCACCCACATAGAGCCAGCCCATATAGAGCCAGCCCACATAAAGAGCAACCAAAGCAGCTTCATTATAGTGGCCGAATTCCAAGAACCCAAGTGACGCACACTCAACCACCTTCCTGCTCTCACGGCTCTTCCACAAGAAAGAACGTAGAATCTGCTTAACATCATGGACAGCCGAGTTGGAAGAAAAAACATACTAGCCCAATAAACCTGAAAACTCTGCAAAATCGACTGAATAAGCTGCAACCGGCTAGCGAAAGAAAACATCCTAGCCGACCAACTCCAAACACGAGACACAATCTGCTCAAGCAAAGGCTGACAATCATGATGAGAGAGCCGACATGAAAAGAGCGGAACCCCGAGATAACGTACAGGAAACGAAGTGACCGAAAAATCAGAGAAAGCCGCCAACTGCTCCACCTCAACATCAGGAATACCCGTTCCAAAAAACGAGCTCTTCCGAGTATTCGCCACAAGTCCTGCCAACTCTCCAAAAGAGGCCAAAACATTATTAACAAAGGATAAAGAACCAAAATCCGCACGAGAGAAGATCATCAGGTCATCTGCAAAACATAAATGCGTCAGAGCAACCCCATCACACTTCTCATGAAACCGGAAACTCGGCGACGACCTATTCAACATTCGAGACAACACCACCATGACCATAACAAAAATATACGGAGATAGAGGATCCCTTGACGCAAACCAACAATATATTCTTTTAAACTAACCTAAACATTACTAATTGATTCCATAAAAAAAAAAATACTAATTGATTAAAAAATATGTGGAATAAAATAGAGATTTGAATTCCCTTTGTTTTATTGAATTTAATAATAATAAAAAAAAACTACCATATTTTTATATTTTTTTTAGTTAGAAGAAATAGCGTGTATGGTGTCACAATCGCACCTTTTCGAAGCAGCTCGAGCGATTGTGCGGCACTTGCTCTAGCTCAAACGAGCAAGTCAGCCAGGAAAACTGTAAGTTGCGGACAATCTTGGTCGTGGGTCTAGCCTCCGCTCACGTTTTAGGAGAAAATTGGTTTTAGAAAACGTGAGAGAGAAAAACAGTTGAAAACATCTTTAAAACAAGCATTGTAGACATTGGATGCAAGAAAGCTTTGATTGCAAGAAAGTATACAACACTTGGTCGGGGGAGGTTTGATGACTACTTGGTCCCCCCTAAGGTACATTATAAGGCATTTTTGGTGTGGCAGGTGTAGACATCCTAAGTGGCGAGGAGTCACTCGGTGGCCTACAGGGCCCGTGTGAACTCCGATTGGCTTGAAATTTGGCGTGCTTACATATCCTACTAATACACACCTAGTTCCAAAGCCGCTCGGCCAAATTCCACCTACAACCCCAAAAACCCGATACAAGAAAATTACACTAGAAAACTTTAAAGACATGAAAGGAAAGCGAGTGGTGAGGATGGTTTGGACATGCGGCCATGGGTAACACACCCTGGACAAGCATGCCCACAACATTGTACATCCCTACAAAAAAAACCAAAAGCAGTGGACTTATCTTCAAACATGTGAGAATTTCTTCCAGCCAAATATTCCAAAGGAGAGCTCTTGAGGCGCACCTCCAAATAAATTTAGTCTTCTTAGGGAGAGTCCACCCAACAATCGAAATAGAGAGGAAGGGAATAAGAGGGTCTTCTTATTTAAGACCCCTTGTGGCACAAATTTTTCCTCGGGCCTTGCTATCTATAATGATGGGAAAATTTTAGAATCACATCCTTAACACCTTTGGATGGTCCACTGCCTTGCTAACTGATCCACCACTCCTTGAAGTTACTCTTGCAGGCCGCCCTTTTAGAAAGGAAAAGAAAATTCTATGGCAGCACTTCATTCAAGCTTTCTTTTGGATCNAAAATCCGCACGAGAGAAGATCATCAGGTCATCTGCAAAACATAAATGCGTCAGAGCAACCCCATCACACTTCTCATGAAACCGGAAACTCGGCGGCAACCTATTCAACATTCGAGACAACACCGCCATGACCATAACAAAAAGATACGGAGATAGAGGATCCCTTGACGCAAACCAACAATATATTCTTTTAAACTAACCTAAACATTACTAATTGATTCCATAAAAAAAAATACTAATTGATTAAAAAATATGTGGAATAAAATAGAGATTTGAATTCCCTTTGTTTTATTGAATTTAATAATAATAAAAAAAAAAACTACCATATTTTTATATTTTTTTTAGTTAGAAGAAATAGCGTGTATGGCACTGGTACCGAAGGGGTGGGTGAAAATGTGTAACCCAATTGTTGAAAAGTTAAACCACAGATGATGCACTTTGGTGGTTCTCATGGCCTGCCACCATCTGCATAGTGCGACTGCGACTGCAACTGCGTCTCACATTTGCAGAAATTTCTTGGGATACATTTTCACCTCCAGATATGCTTCTCCTCTTCGTTCCTCTTCTTCTTCTTTGAAGATACAGTCTCTCCTTCACCATTCTTTTCCTTCTTTCTCCCTTCTGCAATCCCCCAAGGTAACGTAGTTTCTGCCGTTCCCTAGTTCTTATTCTTAATTGATTCTAGGATCTTTACTTAGCGAGTTATTTGGTAACTCCTTTAACACTTTCTAATTTCTTGCAAATAACATTGTGGGTGTGGGTGTGGGTGTGGAATGTGCAATGGGATTTTTGCTGCCTTCTCGACATGCGAGGTGGGCATTGTTTTTATTGCGAGGGTTTAAGTGATTAAGGTTTTAGTTGTCATCAGAGCATCTAATTTTAGCATTTGGTTAAATTCGAAGTAATATACAATTTTTTCTTCTGTTTTACGCATGCAGTTTTACCAAAGAATTTTCTCTCTGTTCCTTAGGGTTACTGTAGTTCATCCGGAGGTGTAAATGCTGCCAATCCTGTAGATAGCAATGCAACTTATCATGGTAGTAGTTCTGCATCTTCTAAAAGCCAGCAAATGCTGCAATTTCAAGATTCATTGCCAAATTCGCTCTTGCACAAAGAAGAAATTGGAATTGATAGTCCTTCAGATGCTAGAGTCATGCTCATTGATGGCACATCAATCATTTATAGAGCATATTACAAGCTTTTGGGTATGTTAGACTTGTCAAGTCAGAATGTTTTAGTTTAACTTAGTTTGTTACGTTAACTTATTTTTTTCAATTCGTATTTAACGGGAAATGGACTTATTTGGCAAGAGTACAATGCATAACTGGAAAGTAGCCGATAGAAACCTGTTGGTAAAGATATGTAGACGTATAATTCATAACAATTTAGAAGCAGAAATTAACTTCTTTGGATTTGTATGTGGGAAGTGTTTATACGTTGCTCTCTACTATGAGGGTTGGAAACCATGGTAGTCTGATATTTTCATAAATTTTTAAACTTACTTGAGATTTATGTCATTTTCTGCTATTACTCAAACAATTGCGGAAGGTTGTTTGTAGCCACAGATGTTTCCACTGAAAATCTACAACATTAAAAAATTTGTTGCTATTTCACATCTTTTTCTTTTAGGTGCGGTTCTCAACAAGAATGGAAACATTTCCATTATCTTTGATACTCAAATTTTAATACAATATTTTAACTTATCAATGGAATGTAAGAGCTTCACCTTAAAACTTGATCAATAAGATCTTTCAGGATTTTATTTTCTCTGGTATGTTTTATTTTTTTGGTCTCGAATAGCTCTCTGAAATCAATTAAAGTTGTAATATTTACTTATCGATTCCACTATAATACACTTGATTTTGTTTTGTTTTGTTTTTTGAGTAGTAGTGTAGTGATGTTGTTTCTTTTGATGAGAGCAGCAAAGTTGCATCATGGCTATTTATCACATGCGGATGGCAATGGAGATTGGGTTCTGACAATATTTACTGCCTTATCCCTTGTAAGTAACATTCTTATTAGGTTCTTGTTTTAAAATCTTATTTTACCCGATTTTTTTTTTCTTTTTTTATTTGTTTTCTCTTTTGTTCAAAAATAAGATATCATTCTGCTGATTGTACCTCAAAACCCCTAATGCTATCATTTGTGTCCTCCTCGTCTATGTTGTTGTCTGCTATGAAGTAATTTCGGTTAAAATATTGCAAAAAAGGATTGGATTATCAATTTTCACTCCTTTTGGTTTCTTATTAATAATAAAAAGAATCAATTGCAATTAGATTTGTAGTGTAGATATATATCTTCTGAAATGAAAGTGATAATTGAAAAGTTACAACAATAATCAATCTCCCTTTAAAAATTTGCAAAGAGCCACTGGAAGAATACAAACCAGAGAATTCGAAGACCCCTCAACCCCTACATACATTATTTGAATAGTATTAGCTAAACAAATAGGACACACCAAGATGAGGCTTACAGGAGAGATTGAAAACGCTTTAAACAGATAATATTGGTGAAAAAATTGCAAACGCTGTAGCTAGGTATGCATTTTACACCATGATAGCCCAAAAAAGACATTATCCAGGATGTAATCTGTACTTTTTCGAATATCATTCTTTTTTATAGGAAACTGAGAAATATATTAAAAGAGGAGAGAGCATAAGAAAAGGGGAGATGAGATACCTCAGAAGGCCCATGGTTACATAAACTTATTCCAATTGGCTATAAAATGGACAAGATCATAATTACAATAAAAGTTTAGAGAGCACTAAATGCATGCAAAGAAGAGTCTCATTGAGTCTTAAAATTCTTATGGACAAGAGCTCTTCTCTACGAAGACCTGCTGGATCTGCTCATGTCATGTTTTGCATAGAGAAGCCATAACTGTGTTAGACCAAAGAATTCTTGCCGATCCTTGAAAGATGTACCGATAATAGTTTGAAGGAGGGTCTCACTCCCTTGTTAGGAAAGCACCAACTTAAACAAATAGGTTGATAATTTTTGACCTAATGGAAGCAATGAAGGAGCATTTGAAAATAGGCAATGAGGATTCTCTAAATCTCGTTTACATAAAATACATCAATTTGGCATAAATGCATAATTTGGGCACTTAGAGATTTTGTTGTGTAAATCCCATTGCCACGAAGGGTCCATTGTTTAACATCTTCTTATGCTTAAAGCCTTATTTGGCCTATTATTTCAAGAAACTCAGCCCCTAAGAAGCACAGACACGAACATGATAGGACACGACAATACGTCAATTTCTAAAAAACTAGGACACAGATGGATACGTTATTTTTTTAGGATATATGTAAATGTAACATTAAAATACTAAATGTACTTACTAAAAAGCATAAATGTCAACTTACTTTATTGGGTTGAAGATGTACTCCACTAAAAAGCATAAAATGTTAAATGTACTCCTCTAAAAAAATCCTAGAGAAGGATTTGAATTTGATTATTGGGTTGGCGATGTCATCCTAATTTAGTAAAACCTATTATACTTTAGTTTAATTCATACGAAATTAAGGAAAAAAAAGTATAGAACTTATTTTATGTGATGTAACTCACACGAACAGAGGGGTGGGTCATATGGACAGAGTCTGAGGAGTCTGGCCGGAAACAAACAATATTGTCTCGGCGGAGGCAAAGGCGAGCGACTGTGTGGGGAAGGCAGGTGATGACAGTAGTGGCAAAGGTGAGCGACGGTGGTGGGTGAATGCAGAGCGTTTTCGTTCGTGGGTTGTGGGTAGCCTTCTTCATGCGTGGTCACTGAGTAGCCTTCTTTTAGGGTTTTTTTTTTGTTTAATTATTTAAGTTTTAGTTTTTGTAGGTTTTGTTTTTTAATTTCAGCTAGGCTTCACATTGGGCTTCCAAAATTGGGCTAAGGAAACAACATTTTTTTTTATCTAGTGTGTCCCACCCGTGTCCAAAACGTGTCTGAAACTAAAAGAAAATAGAATCAGACACTTCAAATTGCGTGTCGGACACGTGTCAGAACGTATCCGTGTTTGACACATATACTCCCCCTTATTTGATCCTTGGGGGTAATTAGGATTATTTTTTTGGACAAGAAACAAATTTTCGTTGATATATGAAAAGGAAAAATGTTCAAGATACAAATCCCGCAGGGACGAAAAAAGAAGAGAGAGAAGAAGAGAAAAATAACTAGTGATTAAAAAAGCCCGCCTAGGCACAAAGGCGCAACATCTGCGCCTCGCCTTGAAAAGGCGAGGCGTTCTTCATGAGGCGTGCAATTGCGCGCCTCAGCTGAAGTGGTGAAGCCCATGAAGCGCAAGCTTTTTTAATAAAAAAAAAACAAATTAAAACAAAAGACCTTAAACACAGAAACCCTTGCGTTTAGGGTCTTCTGTTTTTTTAAAAAAATTGAACGTGGCAACGTGCGGCTATAATAGAATTCGAAAGATTTTATTCCTTTTTTTTTTTGGAAAAAATCTTAACAATAAGTAGCCTAATTGTTTAATGTTTACTGATTCTTTTCCCTCCCACCTCTCACGCCCTCTAATCTTCTAATTTCTATTACTTCCCATACACGAAAACAACTCAAACGTCTCCCTTCTTATATTTCTTTCCCTCACTGTGTCTCTCTCTCTCCATCTCTTTCCAACTTCTTATATATCTCTTTCATGTTTTTGTGGACCATTGATTCTTTATGCTAAGACTTATGATGTTTTCTAATCTTATTTGGCTTTTATATGTTTTATATGTGTATATATATATTTTTATTTGTTTTTATATATAGGGTGCCTCGCGAAAAAAAACCCGTGCTTTTTTTTGCGCCTCGCTCTTAAGCTCCAGAGGTCTATTGAGCTTTTGTGGGCCTCGAGCTTTTTAAATCACTGAAAATAACACAGAATTAGCACAACAAGAGCAATACAAGCTCAGAGAAGATAAAAACATTCTAAACTAGAACTTAGAAACCTCAACCAGTCGAAATACTAAAATCGGAGCGAGAAAAGGTCATTTTCATAAAGTCTATCAAGCAGTAATCACCAAAAATGAAGCCTCAATGCTATCTTCAAAATATCCTCCAATAATAAGCCACCATATGCCAACCCACAAGCTGTAAAGAATCTTTGAAATCCTCACCTACCAACAACCAACAAAACTAAAATTGCAAAGCTTTAAAAATTTCAAAAGACATAGAGAACCTTTCGACTTTCTCGAACAACTTAAAGCTCAGAGAACGCTACTCATTTTTTCTTAAAAGTCAGAGAATGCTATCAAATGGGACAAGAGTAACCTGAAAATCTTCCTCGAAGGATTGTGGTAGACCTCCGATTACAAAGAGGTATAGTAGAAGGAAGGCTAGGAGAGATGAACAGGGGTGGAGAGGGAATTCTGTTTTGTGGGCCCGAGTTTGTTACGGGGCATTTTGGGAAAGTAAGGAGTTAGTTATATATATTGTTGTTAGTAGGGGGGATATTTTTGGTAGAATTTTCCTGATTGTAAGGAGTTGATAGGAGAGACTAGGGAGCTCTCGAATCTCCCTCAGCCCTGTAATTTCCCTCTAATACATAAATAATAGAAGCAAATTCTATCATTTTGGTATCAAAGCAAGAAATTATGGGGAATGCTTACTAGGATGGAAAATAGAGTGGTGTTGGCGGTAGAGGATAATTGTGAATCATGGAAGGAGTTGGCAATGTTCAAGGAGGAAATAAGGTTATGGATGATGGCTGTGTCGCAAAAAATGGGGATCGGTGAGAAGAACCAAGATGACAAAGGGAAAGGGCCTATGATAGATGAAGGAATAGGGGAGAAAACACCGATGAGCATCGAAAATTCCAGTGAAGGATCCAATCACTTGACGAACGCACTGGCTCCCTTTTCGATCTTCGATTACGGAAGTTAGAGGTACTGATTTTTGAAGGGGAAAACCTAGATGGATTGCTTCATCGGGTAGCTTGGTATTTTGTGATTAACCGCTTATCGGACAAGGACAAATTAGAAGCAGCGATTTTGTGTCTTGACGGTGAAGCTTTGGCCTGGCATCAATGGGAGGAGAAACAGAGGTCGATACAAATCTTGGAAGAATTTCAAGCATTATTGCACCAACGCTTTTGACCTATCATGGAAGGCACCTTGTGTGATCGTTTCCTGGCCGTATGACAGGAGATGACGGTCAGGGATTATCGACGAAGATTTGAGGAGGTTGCCGATGCTGTCGACGGAATTCCTGCCTTCAATCCTTGAGAGTATTTTCATCAATGGGCTGAAGGAAGAATTGAGGAAGGAGGTAAGAGTGATGAAGTCCAATGGGCTCAAAGAAATAATGGGGATGGCTCAGTTAATCGAGGATAAGAATTCTAAAGATTCAGCCCGAACGTCTCAAGGAGGAAAAAACGGCACAGTGGATCGATCAGTACGCTGAAATCAACTGGGTCATCAAGCGGGTCGGGCCGCACCGTTTCCTTAAGTGCTCTTTGGAAAGTGTGCTTTATTGAGGTGTACCATCCCAAGATCACCGTCAGCAAAGGTCTTCTCACGGTAGTGACTATTTGTTGTTGCTTTATATGATGGTGTAGCTTGAAGGACGTTATCTGTAACCTCTTTATGTAACTCAACCTAAGAAGCACGGACACGGACACGGGACACGGACACGACACGGCGATACGTCAATTTCTAAAAAACTAGGACACGGACACGCTGGGGATAAGTTATTTATTTATTATTTTTTTTAGGATATAGGTAAATTTAACATAAAAATGCTAAATATACTTCGCTAAAAAACATAAATGTCAAGTAAATTTATTGGGTTGAAGATGTACCCCACTAAAAAGCATAAAAATAGTAAATGTAATCCATTAAAAAATCCTAGAGAAGGATTTGAATTTGATTATTGGGTCGAAGTTGTCATCCTAATTTAGTAAATCATATTCTACTCCAGTTTAATTCATATGAAATTAGGGAAAAAAGGAAGTAAGAATAGAGCTTATTTAATTTAACTCACACAAACAGAAGGGTGGGTCACTAGGTAGCGTT